GAATAAATGTCAACCTAACAAGCTATAAGATAAAAGCTTTAGTGGAAAAAGTACTAAATATAAATTGGATTACTCTTTCAATGTTCTGTCTATAGATATTTCCAATCGACTGCTTCATAGGAAATACCCAAAACTCCACCGAATTTCAAATTAATTTCTTCGTAGATTGTTTTTAAAATTTTAGATATTTATCAAACCTTAACCTCCCAAATATGCACGTTAAAGTAACGCGAACTGACAGCGTCTAGGAATTTGAATGAAACCTGTCGTGTAATTTATTGGGGCTGTTGTAACACGTCTTCCTTAATGTAGGCCTTATCGCCCACCCCTTAACCACGTTTATCTAGAGACGAGACGCGTTAGATTTGAGCAACATCCAGCCGATACACTGGGGTTAAAATAGGAAACTAAAATGATACATATGACACACTCATATCCTCTCTCCCACCTCACTTCCTCACTTCGTTAACTTTGCGTATACTTGATGAGGTCCGTAAAAACGTGTGAATTTTCTTTTCATTCTTCATTTCAGCTTTTGGAAGTAAAGTCTGATGATCCAGAACCCTGTTAAAGGGGTTATGGTGAATAACTTATTACATGGAATCTTAACGTGGTCTGTCTTTTATTCAAATATATATATATATATATATATATATATATATATATATATATATATATATATATATATATATATATACTGTGTGTGTGTGTGTGTTTTGCATCCAAATTCAATTGTTTAATAATTTCCTGTATATTTTTAATTTTTGAACAAATTATTTTATTTAAATCGAAACTGTGCAAAAACTGTCCATAATTCATGTATTTTATTATGTTGCATTTTAAATATCTCTCCGTCATTGTCAAGAATTTAATGTTGTCAATCATGATCAGTACATTGGCCTCGGGAGGGAAAGCTGGATCATTATCTTCTATTTATAGACGTGTTTGGGAAGTGGTATGAAATGCTTAAATCATCAGTGCCCATCTCTCCACACCTGTGCTTGTGTCTGCACAGTGCATAGCGTAGGAAAAGATTAAATAAAATGCGGATCTCATTTCCTCCTTGTCGTATTCCTGATGAAGTCTGAAATGTTTCTGTATTGGGCTCCTCGCCAGAGATTCATGACGCTTTTACACCGATAATGTTCCTCTGTTTGATCGATGCATCCAGTGGGTTCGTAGCTTAGAAGACGGTTTCTAATGGATATAAAAAGGAAGTTTCTATTTATGTTGTCGTAAGCTTCTGTAAGGTCAACGTAATAGGTATACATTTTTCTATTAGACAGGTAAACATTTCCCCGGGTAGTTTCATGACATATATCATTACATCCTTACTAGAACGAAAGCCAAACTAGATTGTGAGTAGTTTCATAAAATAATGAGAGCCTCGTTAACATAATGTCTATTAATATTTTCACTATGATGTATCCAACTGAAACAGCTCTTTAATGTGTATGTGTCTTGAGGGCTATTTTTTATTGTTTCTGTAGTGCATTAATACGTAATAAAACCATTTTTTTTAGTTCATAATGACGGTCGTCTTCGAGTATAGAATCCAGAGGTTAGCATTGAATATTTCGAAGACAGTAGGAAAGCGTTGTTCAGGTTAGCAGTGGATATTTCGGTAAAAGTAGCAGAGCATAGTTTGTCCTTCTGTTTCTCTTCGCCTGACAAGCTGGACTGGACATTCGGGTAGAGTGAACAAAAATGGCCGCCTTTATACACGACGGATTGAATATTCTACGTCTTCTGATTGGTTAACCTTCTATTGGTGGACTATAAAGTGAGTCAAGGCATTTTGACTAACTATATATATATATATATATATATATATATATATATATATATATATATATATATATATATATATATATATATATATATATATATATATATATATATAAAAACTGCAACAAATTTGAGAATGGATTTCTGATTCGAATCTTCTTCCATAAAATAGAGTAAGCAATTTTCAAAAGTACAGTTTCAATGATACTTTATTATTCTAAGTTTTTTTTGTTTTTTTTTTAATATGCTTTCTTACTCTCTTCATCACTAGGTTTATTATAGTTTATATTTAAAGACGAACTTTGTAATGATTGAATATATATTGGTGTATGCTCTATTTTTATGATAAAAAAGATTTTGTTGGCTAGACTCCGGCATTTTTTTTATTTGGAATCGCACATCTAAAATTCAGATACATGTCTATTATACTAACAGTATAACCCGTCTTCGATCGGGTCTTTTATTACTTGGAATATTTGCCGTCCACTTGGAGCAGTTCAAGTTTAAAGTCAGCCCACCCGAAAGTCAATATTAGTAACGAAAATTGGGTGCAAGTAAGGCACATTCCGAAATGAGGGGGGTAACAATTTAAATGGGGGTGGCCCTGAAAAAAGAACAGTAAAATAATAATAATATTATTGTAATAATTTAAACTATTTATTTTTATTAAATGAAAGATATATATCCAAGAACAGATAGTAAATAGTAAAACGTTGCTGAGAGTTGTAATGAACAGGAAGTAGTGGAGAGCCATTGTCGCCAACAATTTGGACTCAAAACCGGTTCTGAAGAAGTATCTATCAAACAAAAAAAATCATTGAAATCGGATGAAAACTGGAAATGCATAAACAACATCCGATCTCTCACACATACATACATACATACATACATACATTTTGAAAATTATAGATATAAATAAGTGACGTCATGTATAAAACAGATTCACTATAAAAAAAAAAAGAAAGTATAAAACATCTGATGACGGGTGAAGAGGACAGAGAGAATTAGATTCGTGATTTTCTCAATCATATTTGTACCCAGTGAACACAAGCATGAAATTAAAAGAATACAATAAATACAGACCTCATCAGTTCTCCTAACTAAAGTCTGCTCATTCTCTTTCATTTTCTGTGACCCCCTGCGTCCTAGTGAGATTATCACCTTGTTTGCTATGGAATGGTATTTAAAAAAAAGTTATCAGGTTGGCCAGAAAGTCCAGGCTCACTTAGAAAGCGGAAATAAATCAACAAAATTTTATATTGCAACACCAACATTTATTCTTCAAAATAAAGTTCATCATTCTCAACAATCTTCTGCCAGCGATCAGCCAGCAACCAAACCTGTTCCAGTGAACAGTCTGCTGGATTTGAATAAAAAAACCTGGCAGTGTGTGACCTTGCAAAGTATTACTGAAACAAAGCCCGACCTCGATTGACTAAAGCAGGATACTTCTTGTTTAGTTTGTCGTACACGCAGTCTAGCTGCTTGCAATACAGTTTAGCGTTGATGGCGCGACCGTGTGGACCAAACTCGAAATGCAGCACTCCTTGGAAATTCCACCAGACAGAGATCAAGATTTGTTGTTTTCTTTCCGCTTCTTAAGTGAGTCAAGACTTTCTGGCCAATTTAATTTTTTTTTTGTTGTTGTTGTTTAACGCAACTTTATTAAGCATTAATAACTTAAATTTATCTCATTAGGATTATATTTTAAATAGGAAATAAATATGAAAAGTTTCAGACATGAGAATTTGCGAATCATGACCCAGATCAAATAAAATTACCTGATGCTGCTATTTAAAAAAAAGCAAATATTAGGTTGTCCAGAAAGTCCTGACTCTCCTAGGCAGCAGAAAGAAAACAACAAAATTTTATGAAGCAACACCAACATTTATTCTTCAAAATAAAGTCCATCATTCTCGGCGATCTTCTGCCAGCGATCAGCCAGCATCCGAATCTGTTCCAGATACCAGTCCGCTGACTCTGAATAAAAAGAAATCTTTAATCAAGCTTCTTTCACTTCATCAAAAGTGTTGAATCGCTGGTTGCGGAGGAAGTTTGCTATTGAGCGGAATAGGCCATAGTCACTCGGAGCAGCATCGGGACTGAATGGTGGATGTGGAAGATTCTCAACACTGTCGATCTGCTTGAACTTCTCCTTACTCAACCTGGCAATGTGTGGACTCGCATTGCCTTGCTGAAACAAAACCCGACCTCGATTAACGAAAGCAGTATACTCCTTTAGTTTGCCGTACTCGCGGTCTACCTGCTCGCAGTGGGGTTTATCCTTGACGCGACCGTGTGGAACAAAATCGAAATGCAGTACTCTTTGGAAATTCCACCAGACATAAACCAAGATTTGTTGTTTTTCTTTCCGCTTCCTAAGTGAGTCAGAACTTTCTGGCCAACCTAGTGCTTTAGTCTGACGAAGTCCATCAAGAGGCCGAAACGCGTTACACTGAATTTTTTCCATTTTGTCATTCAATTCCCTAATATTTTTCTGATATATAGAAATGTATAATTCATCTTCTCTCGTAATGACAAGTGAAAATCGATAGTGCTCATAAAAAAAAAAAATTGGCAATTTATTTTCAAACTCTCCCCGGAAAACATAAATATAGTTCATTCGTTAAAAAAAAACTAAGTTGACAAAAAATAATCTTGAACAAAGAATTTTCGTTGGTCTTCAATCAAACTTTTTTCGTTTTATTTATTTATTTTTGTCTGTAGGTGTTGTTTTTGTTTTTTTTTTCTTCTTTCAGATTAATTCATGGCGAGCTATTTTTCTGTCTTCCTTACACGTTACACATTTTTCCCCTTTCCAAATTTATTGGAATCTTAAATCGATATGAAGACATTTAAAACTAATTCATTCAAATTAAAATCCAAAGGCACTAAAACCACTTCTGACCAAAGTGTCAGTGGAAATTGAGGAAGTGTATGAATGCCATCGGAGTTACGAACAACCTACGTAAGTTGGCAGGAAAGAATAAGCAGACGTTGATATTACGATAATTATTGATTTATTTTGCTTACTTTTTTCTTCAAATATATCAGAGTATTTTTAGCTATCTACTCTTTCTTTTTTTTTCGATTTAGTTTTATTTTAAACATATTTTAAGCGCGAATTTTTCTTTTTTTTTTTTCTACATTTTAGAAATCCCACAAGAGGTCGGCCATAATTCATAAAATCGAACTTTTATCACACTCATAATCTAAGCTGATTGAGTGAAAAAAAAATTAACACGCTCTTGAATTTGATTGATTGCAACAGAAGAAAGGAAGGAAGGAAGGAAGGAAGGAAGGAAGGAAGGAAGGAAGGAAGGTCGGTCGAGGAAGGAAGGAAAGACGAAGACGGAAGGAATGACGAGGTCGGAAGGAAGGAAGGACGAGGAAGGAAGGAAGTAAGGAAGGAAAGAAAGAACGAAGGAAGGAAGGAAGGAAGGAAGGAAGGAAGGAAGGAAGGAAGAGGAAGGATCGAAGGAACGAACGAACGGGGAACGAACGAACGGGGGACGATGAAAAAATGAAGGAAGGAAAAGACAAAAAATAAACGAAAGAAGTAAGATCGAGAAAGAAAGAAAGAAAGAAAGAAAGAAAGAAAGAAAGAAAGAAAGGCGAGGAAGGAAGGATGGAAGGAAGGAAGGAAGGAAGGAAGGAAGGAAGGAAGGAAGGAAGGACCATGAACAAATGAAGAAGAAAAGGAACGAACGACGGAAGGAATGAATATAAGGGAGAAAGAAAGAAAGCAGAGAATGGACGAAGGAACAAAGGAAGGAAGGAAGGAAGGAAGGAAGGAAGGAAGGAAGGAAGGAAGGAAGGAAGGAAGGAAGGAAGGACGAGGAACAAAGGAAGGAAGGAAGGAAGGAACAAAGGAAGGAAGGAAGGAAGGAACAAAGGAAGGAACAAAAGAAAGAAAAAGAACGAAGAAGGGAATGAACGAACGAAAGAGCTGGATGGCAAAGCCGCATGGGGTAACATAAACGGATACATTCATTGGACAGGAACGATAGAAAGATTGAGAGATCGAAACTTTGAAATGATTGATCGATAAATTGATAGAATAAACTGGGGAGAAGTAGGCAGGATGAAGTTGGGTGAAAAACAATGTCGATAAAGAAGGAAGATTCATGGAAGCCGGGAAGAAAAACGAGGGCTTGAGAGAGGAAAAAGTTAAATAGATGGATCGTCTGATTTAGAGATAAATTGCTAGGATCGCTTGGAAAGAAAGAAAGAAAGAAAGAAAGAAAGAAAGAAAGAAAGAAAGAAAGAAAAAAAAAAGACTGAAAGAAAGAAAGAAAAAAAAAAGAAAGAAAGAAAGGATTCCCTTACTGGAGTCAAGCTTTAAAGGTACTTCTGACTCATTAGAGAAATTGAAGGTATTACCCGAGAAAAGAAACTCCAGGAAAAATAGATGAGATTATTTACATACGGACAGCCGTTTACATAGTTATTATTATCATAACGTTTCGACTGTTGTGACTTGCGGTCTTCTTCAGGTGATTGCCGATAACCTTCTGGGAATTTCGAACCGACCTTATTATTTAATCTACTATTTCACACTTACAGGACAGATGAACATTAGATTTAAGGCCCCGGGTTCTAAGGTAGGAATTGCCTTTCGAAAAATAGTCTGGTGGATTCAAGCATTGTTTTGTGAAATTGATGATATATTAATTGTGAGTTCAATCCCTGAGCAGGATAGTACAAACTTAGACACAGTGAAAATTTCTGTGACACAAAGAGAGATTAGAAAATGTAATGCACCCAGTGAAGGGGAAAAATAAAAAATAAAAAAACATAATTCGAAGACGAAAAAAAAAAGCTGTTACTTTACAATTGTGGGAATATGAACATGGAAAACAGAAGAGAGAGACCAACTAAAACATATGTGGGTCACTTAGGAAACAATACGGGTTTGAGGATTGATGAACTAACGAATATCAGTAAAGAAAATAAACTACTCTTCACCACGGAAAGCACAAGAGAAGAAGGCCAACAAAAAATGTGTGGGTCAGCTAAGTAAAGACACTCATTTAAGGGGTAAAGACTTCATTAACACTAGCAGGAGAGCCCGGCGTTGCCCGGAGATGTAACAGTAAGAGATAGATCAAGTATCGACCATCATAAAGACTGAAAAATAAAATTGACAAAGATTATTGTTTAAGGTTGACGGACACGCATGTTTTAATTACATTTTTTGGTTTGTTTTTTTTGTTTGTTTGTTTATTTTTTTACGAATTAGTCAAACTCAAACGAAAACATTGTTTTCAATCGTTATGAGTCTACCGATTGAATAGAATTTTATTATAAACAATTGTCTTGTAAATGGAATTTTTAAAGCATTCTGAATGTAAAAATAAAGAAAAAAGTGTTCAAGACAATAAGAAACACTACCTGCCAAAAAAAAATTAAGTTTTGTTGAAATCGGTTGAAAAATGTAGGAAATCCGATCCCATATATAAACGAACACACACACACACACACACACACACACAAACAAACAAACAAACAAACAACCTGGGTTTTATAATAATAAGTATAATTCGATATGAGTTGTTCCCCTTTCATTCATTTCAGTGATGCCTCTTAATCGTGTTTTCAAATTGATTTCGTGCAAAAACAATTGTGTTTTTCCAATTTTTGGCGCTGTCAGAACCACCGCAAGGTAATTTTACGTAGTCCTCTGAAGTTTTGTTGAAATCGGTTGAAAAATGTAGGAAATCCGATCCCATATATATAAACGAATACACACACACACACACACACATACACACAACCTGGGTTTTATAATAAGTATGATCATAGAAGAAAATAAAGAAAATAAACTACTCTTAAAAACAGAAAAGAAGGTGACCAACTAAAACATATGTGGGTCAGCTACAAAAAAACCCACTGATTTGAGGAGTGAATAACTAATGAAGATCATGGAAGACAAAACATAAAATAAAATACTCCTAAGCATGGAAAAAAATAACAGGAGACCAACTAAAACATATGTGGGTCAGCTAAGAAAAAATACTGGTTTGAGGAGTGATGACCTAAGAGTGGTGGAAGTTAAAGATAAAATAAACTACTCCCAAACACGAAAAACCGAGAAAAGGAAACCAACTAAAACATATGTGGGTCAGCTAAGAAAAGACATTGGTTTGAGGAGACATAACTTAGAGAAACGGTGCCGTCATGGATAGCCGCTGAGGAATCGGAGAGCCGAGTTCGAAATCCAGTCGAATCCCTTACATTTACTTACGTACTAATACCCTTGTAAAAGGTATGAGTCCTCTTCTTCTCCCCTTCCCCTATTTCTGGTTAAATAGCAGGACAGACCGGGTTCTATAGCCTTGGATGGCAACTGGTCTACCATAGGAAGAAATGGCAACCTACTGCGGGAAAAAAATCTACCTCGTCAGTTACGTATCGAAAGATACATGATCGCCTAATCATATATCCCACATGACTGACATAAATTAGAATGATGTGACACCCCGCTACGCTGGCTGACCGCACAGAACCCCTATTAGACAGACACACATACACAATTACGAATACACATTACAATCAGAAGCCCCCTTAGATATACAAGAATCTTCCCAAACTGACATACATATAGAATTACCCACGGTTTTAATAAACGTGACAGGTTACTGACCAATGGGAACTGACCCAATCAAAACTGAAAGAGTTTCCGTCCTTTTGTTTTCCCCTCAATCTCTGACGAAGCTTTAATAAAAGTGAAGCATTTTAGATTGATATACGTTTCCTATTTGTTCTTTATCTGATCATATATATATATATATATATATATATATATATATATATATATAGATAGATAGATAGATAGATAGATAGATAATAGTAGTGGTTAATATACACATACATATGCAATCATATATCTAAACTATATAAATATATATACATACATATACACACATATATATATATATATATATATATATATATATAATTCCAAGAAGATAGAATCCAGGTAGAACTCAATGTCCAGGGAAGAGTAAGGATATAATAAAAAGGCTTAAACACTAATATTCCATGGTCATAATTTATTCCATTGGAATCGTAAATACGATCCAATTCATCAGACCTACAAAATAATGGTAAGGTCTGATGAATTGGTGGTACTACGATTCCAATGTAATAAAGTTTGACCATGGAATATTAGTGTTTAAATCTTTTTATATATATATATATATATATATATATATATATACTGAGGGAGAGAGAGAGATGAGGAGGAATAGCTAGCTAGCTAGATAGATAGATGTTTACTCAATTCCATTATTGTTACCTTTGACTAGCATTTACTTTCGTATTACCTTTCGGTTGCTTCTTATCGGAACTTTTACTCAAGCTGCCAAGTCTACTGAACAGACAGCGTAGCATCAGAAATAATTGATAGGCTTTCATCGAGATTCGAATTTACGTCACATTTTACGCTTCGAACCATTGTTGAACGACCAGGTATTTTCATCGCTAAGCTACAAGAACTTACGGACTCTAAAGAAGATAAGGTTTAATCAATAAACTATCACTTCATTGCACAACTTTTATCCGTTCAATATCTCTTTCGTCTCAGCGAAACACGAACTCGCAAGTGATCTACTTCTCTTGTCATGTAGCCGTAGCGCAAGACGGGTCGCTCGCTCAGCAACCACCTATACTGACCAACTATTTTATGACACAGGATGGCACCGAAATGACCCTTGATGCAGGACCAGGATCTCTGGGAACAACATCCAACTAAATCATGTTGCAGTTTTTTTTTATATATATATATATATATATGTGTACTAGTGAGCTGGCCCAAATGACTTGACGCACTTTAACCAATCAGAAGTCGTGAAATATTCAATCCGTCTTGTATAAAGGCGGCCATTTTGTTTACTCTATCCGAATGTCCAGTGCCAATTTGTCAGGCGAAAGAACAGAAGGAAGAACTACTGAACTACGCTCTGCTACTTTACTGGGATATCTATTGCTAACTTGAACTACGCTTTCCTACTGTCTTCGGAATATTCACTGCTAACCTCTGGATTCTATACTCAAAGACGACCGTCATCATGAATAACAAATCACAGTTCTATGGACCCATCCCTAATATTTCGACATTCTTACGTGAACGCATAGTGCACTTTGCAGGGAACTGCTGGTGAACAAAACATGAACTCTCGATACTGCTCTGGACACCTAGTAATGGCGCAAAACTGGCTGATCGCTCAGCAAACACTTACATTGACCAGCTATGATATGACACAGAATACCACCATAATGACCTTCTGACCTTGATACAGGACCATGATGGTTAGCGTGATAGATTCATGATTTTCCGAGCTAGCCCAAGCGAATTATGTCTCGTGCTTCCTGCTTTGAATGTTATTTGAACCAATAGGGTGTGTCAGTTTTCATATGCAATTCTGACATGTGATCGGCCTATGCGCTGACCATGATAGGCTTTCCATAAACTACTCCCGGGATACACGTGACGCCATAAACCGGCTCAAACAAAATGTTCCCACATTTCTTAAATAGAATACTCTATCCGTCTGGCCTACCCTATGCGATGTCCGATAATTCACGTTGGACAATGCTCAACAATCTCCTCGCAGATGGAAAAGAAACATGAAACAAAAGAAATATGGTTCTACAGGGGAAGCCGAAGTTTAAGAGAAAATGGATATAAAAAAGGGAACTTATACTTAGCATCAGAAAGAGGCAATTGAAATGCCTTCTGCATAAAAATGAGGTAAGAATGCTCGGAAAATTCGATACTCACAGAGAGTAAAATAAATTACCTTATGAGCTTGTGTACAGAGCTGGCAATACAGGATTAAGAAAAAATAGCAAAAAGACAAAATTTACTAAGAGCTACAAAGGAAAGGACGTTGTAGAGAGGCATGATCACCAACGTTCTGAAGGAACAGGGTACATTAAAGAAGAATTCGGGATTCTTACTGAATTACTGAACAATTGATACAGGTCTGCACGGTTCTATGACGTAAGGGTACAGTGGGGCCACCAACCATTACCTTTACATTCTGTTACCCCATCGGTATCTTCTTTGTTCCGATTTTCTTCAGTAAGGTTTTTTGCTATCTTTCTTAATCCCTGTTCTGTCAACGAATCGCACGAGATCATTAGGTAGGTTACGTTTTCATAATCGACATAGCTCTTCATAAAAAGGTGGATGGTAAGACAATGCCTCACCGAGAAACGAAAAGGTGTATTGCCCACAAATGAAGCGTGTAAACCGATTAAGAACTCCCACGGTAGCAGCGAGCATCCGGGTACAAACCAGCGAGTGTTACAGTTTTTTGGATATATGCATGTACTAGTGAGCTAGCCAAAATGAGCTGACTCGTTTTATAGTCCACCGAGAGAATGGTTAACCAATCAGAAAGCTCAAAATATTCAATGCGACGTGTATAAAGGCAGCCATTTTGTTTTTCTCCCAAAATATCTTCACTGCCAACCTGATATCGAAGACTTAAAGAATTAACAGCCGCTACTTTCTCCGAATCTTCACTGCCAACTCGGAACGCAATATAGCATTGTTATTTCTTCTAGTTACATTACCTATTTTGTGTTGATGATGCTTTGGGAATTGTTCAAGCTGTTTTTCTTATTTGGTTTAGCTTTTACCCATTCTGTAGCGCCACTCACTATGATTTAATAAAGGACTACGTTTTATATTATAACTAATTCGTATGAAGCTATTTATTAACGTCTGATATGAGAAAACGTTTACATACAGATGATATTTGACAGATTTTTAATATGTTAGGTGCCATTCGTGGCATCCATATAAAATTCTAAATCAGACGAAGCTATTGAATAACAGAAATCGAGTTTTAGGCCGGAAGCACCTATATCAGCTGATATATTGGTACAATGAAAACATCTGAAAGATGTTATAGAAATTGTCTCAGACAGTTATTGCCTTGATGACTATCAGCTAAGTGGACCTCATAAGAAACATGCCAACGATCCTGATAAAGAGGGTCACTGAGTGAAGCCAGACCGTGAGTTCTTGATAAATTACTTTTTCAGAAAAAGATGACAAGACAAAGAATGCTGTTTTCTATCAGACAGTGATCCGAAGACAGATTAAACCCAGAGAGAGAGAGAGGCACAGAAAGTGACGTGAGACCGCTAGCCACGACGCGAAAAGAAAGACATGCCCGTTAGACTGTTAACCTCCCCTAACGCCGTTTCATCTCTGTTTCGCTCGTCTACGGCATATGGATACAACCGAATAAGATTTGCTTACAGCTACAATCGGTTCATAGTTTTCTTCCGCGCGTAACGATCTGAACAAGGAATTTTGGGTTTTTTTTTTTTTAAAGTTACAAGCGTTTGAGCGGAAGAAGCTGAACCTGGTCTGAGATCCGTCGCCATGTTGGCGTTGTAGTATCTTACGGTGTTGGTCAAAAGTAGCTTTGTCCAAAGTCAAGTTCCTCGCTTCTGCCAGAAACTAGTATGAAGCCACTTTCGCGACGAACCATTCGAAAACAGATTCCCAACTTTACAGACTTTGGCGGATTTGATTCAAAGAAGAAGATAGAAAAAAAGACGTACATTACGCCTGTTGTCAAAAAGTGGATGAAGAAATCAACAAACACAAAGTGCACAACAGAGAATGAAGTGGGGTATCTTTTAAGGAGACAAATGTTTGACAACGAAGCTATATTTTGAATTTTTCAACCCACCAATGAATGTGCATCTTGCTGTGGGAGTGTGGGGAAGAATTTCCAACCAGAAGACCTGTCAAGAATGCAAGGCCTACTGCAGTATTAAGTTTATTATTACGTTATACTATGTATAATACAAAATAACACACACGACCACAAGGCACATACACATATGCACGCATATATATATATATATATATATATATATATATATATATATATAGTGACTGATGATAGCCGCATACAGAACGGCTTGAAATAGACTATCTTCTATGTTCATGTAAATTTTGTCTTTTTGCTGCCAAAAAGATATATATATATATATATATATACATATATATATATGTGTGTGTGTGTGTGTGTGTGTGTGTGTGTGTGTGTGTGTGTGTGTGTGTGTGTGTGTGTGTGTCACGCGTGCGCCCACGCATGCGTTGGGCACTTCGGCATTGTCATTATGTAATGATTAGCAAGTTTGTCTCGTTAGATCAATTACGACTTAATAGTGAGCCCGATCCTCACTAGGTGCCCCATACTTTCAGCCTTATGCCACACCTAAGCTACGCTTAGAAAATCACCATATATATATATATATATATATATATATATGTGTGTGTGTGGGTGTGTGTGAGTGCGTTTTGCTTAAAGTTTGCTATATGCATTTGCTAATGGTGAACGTTTTAGATTAACAATGTTGTTAGCGTTTGTAGATATATATGTGAACGTAAGAATCAACACTGAATGGTGGTATTCAATTTCATGTCTTCAAAGCAAACAAAAGCTAATTACCATGCATCGTTGATATATATATATATATATATATATATATATATATATATATATATATATATATATATATATATTAAAGCTTCCTGTAATAGACCAATTGCCTTCCCTACAGAAGAATAAGAACCTGACTCAAATTGACCTCGATGCTTTCAGACTCAAGTATAAATCCAATAACACATACCTAGAAGCTCAAGTATGTTTGACTATAGACTCAAGTATAAATTTTAAAATCAACAGATTTTGTTATTAAAATACTCAGTATATCGTAAAATTACATCTATTACTACATAGAGCGCAGACTGAGTGTAGAAAACAACGTGTCGAAAGACAAAAGGACGAATGGACAAAATGTCGAACAAACGAAATATAAAATGGACAAAATGTCGGATAGTCAAAGTATCGAACCGAGAAAGTGTCGAACGTACAATATGTTGAACGGATTATTGCAAAAACGTCGTTTTGCGCATTTTCTATAGATTCGTTCATCTATCTCTTTGCCGACGACAAATTATCGTATTATGACGTTTAAAAGAAATAATTAAATTTAGTAAATAAACTGAATTGTGACTTAGGCACCTATTTATATTCCCTAATCAATATATATACATATATATATATATATATATATATATATATATATATATATATATATATATATATATATATACGAAGTCTCTCAATTCAATTTGGTATAAAGTAGAGTATAATAAAAGATGTCCCTAAGTCGGACAACTAAAAGATGATCATGGAGTCATAATCACTTTTAAGGCTATTATTTATTAAATGATGCCAAAGCTAAGCAATAAAAAGTTTGAATACCATATGAGAACCAGTAATAAGGAGTGCCAGAGAAAAGCGATAATAACAACAAAAATTGCAATATAAGCTCTGGTAAAAACATAATGATAACAACAACAAAAAAATTGCAATATGAGGACTGGTAAAAAATTGTTGTGAAGACATTAGGTTTATAATACCCAGAAATTCATACACATAATGAAAATTTCTGTTCATGGCATACCCCAAACAATTTCAGGAATAATAAAAAGAGATTTACGACCTAAAAAGAAACCTGTGATGACAGAAACCGAACGAATCAATTATACGATATCTCCCACAGATTAAGAGAAGCTAACAGATTCTGCAAATTTGAGGAACTTGTGGCTCAAGATTTGACTATTCAAAATGAAATGAGACCAAGATCACCAATAGAAAAAAAACGGAACAGAAAACTCGGCAGGGTGGGGGAGATGAGCGGGAAAAGTTTTAGAAGAATTTCAAGAGTAATGAAAGGTATTAAATATCTTCTGTTCAGGGAGGTGTAGTGCATTGGTAAATAGGATTGTATTTATTTGCAATGTTAAGTAGAAGTCATGTAAGATAAATAAGATACTAGTAAAGTAAGAGACAGGCCAATGTTGACTAATGATCACGTGTCTTAAAGCAAATCAATAAAACACTCAGCATGTTTTTATCTATCTATCTATCTATCTATCTATCTATCTATCTAAGCATGTTTTCATCTATCTATCTATCTATCTATCTATCTATCTATCTATGTATCTCAGTCTTTTCCTATCTATCTATCTATCTATCTATCTCAGTCTTTTCCTATCTATCCATCGATCTATCTCAGCATGTTTATATTTATCTAAGTATTTATTTCAGCATGTTTTATCTATTTATCTATCTATCTACCTTCCAACCTACCTACCTATCTCAGCATATTTCTTTCTTTCTTTCTTTCTTTCTTTCTTTCTTTCTATCTATCTATCTCAGCATTTATCTATTTATTTCAGTATGTTTTATCTATCTATTCATGTACCTATTTATCTCGGCATGTTGTTATCTATCTCAACAAGTTTATATCTATCTATTACCATCTTTTTATATCTATCTATCTATATCAGCATGTTTTTTTATCTATTTATCTATCTAAACACGTTTTATTTATCTATATATTTATCTCAGCTTTTTTTATATATCTCAGAATGTTTCTTTCTATCTATCTATCTATCTCAGCATGTTTCTTTCTTTCTATCTATCTATCTCAGCATGTTTCTTTCTATCTATCGCAACATGTTTCTATCTATCTGTTTATTTATCTATCTATCTATCTATCTCAGTGTAGTGGATTGGTAAATAGCATTGTGGATATTTGCATATGTTAAGTAGAAGAGATATAAGGTGTACAATAAAGTAAAAGACAGACCAAAGTTGACCAATGATCACGTGTCATAGAACAACACAATTCAGTCAAGTTTTTAGCAATGGTTGAGTTCAATATGTGGTTGGCTTTTACCGTGTGATTTCCAGTCTGACTTTCGATTCAATCTATTCCCAAATTAACCAGCTTTGGTAAAAAAAAAAAAAATACAGTATGGGAAGAACTCTTCAGCATGCCCTCGTAGAAATGATACCACGTGATCATGAGATTTTTAGGAGATACGACCATTCAAATTACTAGCGACGACATCTTTAATATATCTTCAAGTGACCGGTAAATTATTTTTGAAGAGCCTCTCTTTTGATTAGTGCAGCGACTAATTGGTCTTTGATCAAAACTTGGCTATTGTCCGAGCGGCTACAGTTGAGTGAATGGTGGTCAATTTATTAATTTCCTGGAGACCAAAGGCTACGAATTACCTGCTCAACAGGGTGCTGATTAATGACATGTGATTTTTTTTTCTTTGCTTCCGTAGATTTATTGGCTGAACTCGCAGATATAACAAATTGTTAAAGCTCCGAACCTCTGACCGAGTGTTATGTGAAGGTTTTGGGTTTTTTTTCTATGTTTAACTATATTGATTGCTGACGAGCGATCTTTTTCGTAAGGTTATAAGTACACGACGTTATCGTTGTACGTTACAAATGAAAGCAAGAGACTTAGTCTCTCTTACGTCACATTACTGGGGTAGGAAATGAATCAAACGCCAATGTCGTGTAATTCCCCATGCATAATACGCCTTCAGCCATAATACGCACCCCTAAAATTGTGCTGAAAGTGTGGGAAAATGCTTCTACTTACGCATAATATGCACCGCTTGTTTGATAATCAAACCCTATAAATTGTACCGATCCAATTTCATTACGGCCAGCATTTCTTACTATTATTTAAAAATAGTTTTAAACATAGAATAATATTATTCTAACTTAGTTTTATGATAATTGTTATTTTATTTTATATTCGTAAGCATTGTTATGTACATATGATTGTATTTGACATCCTTATGGGGTTGCAATCGTCGAATGTTTGTGTCAAATTGTTCTATGTTTGTGGTGAGTAGTCATTTCGCAACTGAAATCGACCCACGAAACGGCAATTTTTAAAAGATTTTTTGTAGCTGTGCATAATACGCACTCCTAATTTTCCTTGTTATTTTTTAGAAAAAAATGTGTATTATACATAGGGAATTACGATATATCTGCAATGCATAATACTATTTACACCAAAACAATATATTTTCACTTAAGATTCACACAACCGTCACCAAAATATCACAGCTTCTCTGAAGCCGTAACTACTTCCCTTACTAACAATTCTCTAAGGATAGTGTTGTGGTAAACCCTCCTACAGTAGAATGAACTCTTCCCCCTCTCATAAATACTAACTGCGAGACTTCCTAGGGTAGAGCCGTAGAGCAGTCTTTGACTGTGTGCGACTTCTGTCGAACTCTCTGCTTTGGCAGAGAGGATATCGGACGAGGCTTTGGCGAAGGGCAAAGTTTCGCCCGGGGAGGTAGACAGATGCCGAACCCGGTTATGTGGGTTCAAAGGGGATAGTTTTGGCCGAGCCTACGGGCTCGGAGAAACCCAAGTTAAACTCGGCCTTGTGCCACATACATCCCTCGTTGGGGGGGGGCTGTTAAATATATAGTCGTAGGGCAGCGGAGACGCAGTGTTAACCTAACGTTTGGATGTACACCTCTATCTGCTTATTAGTAACACTCTTGCTTTCTATATAGCAGTTATTTCAATGCACTTGTTCAACCTACCTTCGTCTTCCGTCTTTATTTCAGGCCTCTAAACAGGCCACAACAGATAGTAAACGATAATTGTTAAAAGTCCCAACTCAATGTATATCTACAATGCAATATGCACGT